AGGAGAATTCAGAGAAGAAGTCAGCAACAGCCTGCCTGTTGACGGTCGATCTGGGCTTGTACTTAAGATCGAACTGACTCAATTCCATGGCCCATTTAAGCAATTTACCCGATGCCTCTAGCTTTTGGAGGACCTACCTGAGGGGCAGTTAGTCATTACATGGATCGTATGGGCGTGGAAGTAAGGTCGCAGCTTTTTGGAAGCGATCAGCAGGGCGTAGGCTAATCGTTCCATTTCTAGATACCGCATCTCGGCATCTGACAGGCGCTTGCTTGCATAGTACACTGGCCATTGGACTTTTCCCTCTTCCTGAACCAGGGCTGCACTGACCGCGAACTGAGAGATGGACAGATACAGGGGTAGGATCTCTTGTGGAAGAGGCTTGGACAGGAGAGGCGGCTTCCTGAGGTGTTCCTTTATACTTTGGAACGCCTGCTCGCAATTGGGAGTCCACTCGAACTTCTTATTGGCCTTCAGAACATTAAAGAACGACAAGCAGCGATTTGTTAGCCTCGATATGAAACGACTAAGTGCCGCTATTCGCCCGTTAAGGCTCATGACCTGTTTTTTGCTGGTCGGGCTTTCCATATCAAGGAGAGCTTGGATTTTCTCGGGGTTGATTTCTATTCCTCACTGGTTAACCATGTATCCTAGGAATTTACCCGAGGATACTCCGAATGAACACTTTAGAGGGTTCAGTTTCATTCTATAGAGTCGGAGGATATCAAAAATTTCTGCGAGATGCGCTATGTGATCTAAAGCGACATGGGATTTGACCAGCATGTCATCTACATAAACCTCCATTGACTTACTGATCTGGTCAGAGAACATCTGGTTAACCAATCGCTGGTAGGTCGCACCAGCGTTCTTGAGGTCGAAGGGCATGACTTTATAGTAGTACAGTCCCTGATCTGTAATGAAAGACGTATGCTCTTTGTCTGGCGCATACATCGGAATTTGATTATATCCCGAGTATGCATCCATGAAACTTAGCAGCTCATGCCCCGAGGTGGCATCCACGAGTTGGTCGATTCTTGGCAAGGGGAAACTATCTTTAGGGCAGGTTTTGTTGAGGTTGCTGAAGTCGACACAGGTTCGCCACTTGCCATTAAGCTTCTTTACCAGAACCGGGTTGGCAACCCAAGTCGGGTAGAGTGCCTCTTGGATGGACCTATTACGGAGGAGGTTATCCACCTCTAGTTTTAAGGCGGCATATCGCTCTGGATCCATTGCTCTTCTTTTCTGATGAACCAACTTAGCTTCGCTGTCGATGTTTAACACATGGCAGATGACATCCGGGCTGATCCCGACCATGTCTGCATGCGACCACGCGAACACATCTATGTTCTCCCTGAGGAAGTTGGTCAGTTCGGTAGCGAGTTGGGAGTTCAGATTTTTACCGATCCTTAGCACCCTGCTCAGTTCGTTCTGGTTGACCAGTACTTCAGTTAGGTCCTCAACTGGCTCACTGAGGGGTAGTCTTGAATGAGGGGATCGATATTGTCCTCGGCTAGGCCAGGTCATGGATCGATCCAGCTGATCGTCATCGCCTGTCCGTGATTGTCGTGCGAGGTGCCTTTCCCTCTGCATGTCATCTGGACTGCTTTTACATAACAGTCGTGAGATGCACGCTGTGACCCGTTGACTTCCCTAATTCCCATCGGGGTGGGGAACTTCATTTTCAGATGGTAAATTGAAGTGATCGCCTTAAAGTGTCTTAGTAGAGGTCGCCCTAGGATTCCATTGAAGGCTGATGGGCAATCTACTACTAATAATTCAGTTACCGTATAATGGGAACGAGGCAAGCTTCAGGTCGGCCTCATCTAGATTCATTCTTTCGAAAGTGGAAGTGAACAGGATGTTCACAACACTTCCGCTATCCACTAACATTCTGTGGATATTATAGCGCTCTATTAGCAGTGCGATCACGAGGGCGTCATCGTGGGGATGGTGCAGTCAGACCGCATCCTTTTCGGAGAAGGAAATTTCCTCCTCCCTGTAGACCTTTTATGGTTGTAGTATCCCACTCATCACTCTGATGGGGTCGTGATGAGCTTCACGAGCATATCTTTCTTGGGCACCTCACGAGTTTCCCACGAAGTGCGGTCCCCCGAAGATTAAATTGAGACTACACACCCCTTTCTGATCACGGCGCTTCTTACTCGGCTCCCCCTGATTTTTCTCCCGCGAGGGAGTAGAGTCATCAATATACTCTTTGAAATGCCCCTTCTTGATGAGCTCATTGATTACTTGTTTTAGAGCTCGGCACTCATCGGTATGGTGCCCATTGTCTCGATGATAGCGACAGTATTTCTTATTGTTTCTGGCTGTCGAGGGAGTTATCATGGGCTAGGGCTCTCCGAGCAAGTTGGCTTCTTCAGATTTGTCAAGAATAGCTGATACAGATGCATTCAAGGGAGTATATTGGTTCCTGTCGCGATCGCGACGAGGAACAGGTGCATAGGACTTCCTAGGCTCGTAGTGAGGTTTATTTCCTTTTCGCTGATTATCAGCAGCCCCTCCGCGATCAGCTCTTCTACTTTCCCCTCGACCAGACATACTGCCTGAAGCGTCGGGGTCGCGACGGCAAAGTGCCACCAACGAATTTTCTATCCAGAGGTACTTCTCCTCAAGGTTATAGAATCGGGTGAGGGAAACATCGTCCTCTGCCTGTAATCATTCCACAGGTCGGTTTGTGGACAAACTCCTGCTATTATGAGGGTCCGAATGGACTCTTCGGGAGCATGAGCCACCTTGTTGAGTTCTTTGTGGAAACGGTTAATGTAGGACTGTAGGGATTCATCCCTTTCTTGCCTTACATTGTTGAGATAGCTTAAAGGCATCGAGAACTTCCGATTTGCTTGAAAATGCCTTAGGAATGTCACGCTCATCTGAGGCCACGAGCTGACCGATCCCGCTGGAGCGACTTGAACCATCGTTTAGCATGAGAGGTTAAAGTCATGGCCAAGCAACGACATTTTGCAAGGTTTGAGACTTGGTGAAGCTCCATTAGGTCGTTAAATTCATATAAATGATTGTACGAATTAGAGTTCCTGTCAAACACCTACATGTCGGGCGTCCTGAACCCTGGTGGGAGTGGAGCGGCTAACACTTCGGGAGAGAAGGCGGATGCAGATGTGACCTGCCCCTGCTCATTTTGTTGGGCTCTTAGTCGGTCTAGGGCTTGCTACAGCTCCTCAATTTGTGGCAAAGGAGCCAGTTGGGGATTACTTTCACCCATGAGTGTTCGACCCTAGTGATTACGGTTTAGGAAAGTTCGGAGGTCGAATTCCTCATCGCCTCTGCCGATGTTCCTGGCCGCTTTCGACACACGCTGGCTAGAGACGTGTGATGGCGATGGATGATGTGGGGTATTTTCACAACCCTCGCGGTGGTACAATCCGCCCCGCGAAGTGTGGGAACTACCCGTACGATGATGATCAGGATTGTTCTGCTGGCGGTGATAAGAATCGCCCTGCCCAGCACTTTAACTTGGGTGTACCTGCGACGTGGCATGGGACAGCTCGGGATGCACTTTTTCACCGAGTCTTAGCTTTACCAGTATCCTGCTCGAGACACGGTTGGTGTTCGCGGGCCCTTTGGAGCCCGTGGGGTTGCTTTTTGCCACTTGCTTACCCTTTTGTCTATGCGCTGCAGTGCTCGCGGCACGGGCTATTTCCCTTTGCTGCGCTTTCGCATGACCTGCAGGCGTTTTTGGCGGTTGCACCACCCCAGCAGATTTGGATGGCGCACCTTAGTCCAAACGGTCCAACCTTTGGTTGACCGTCTGGAGAGTATTGTCGAATCTCTCCAGGTAGCTTCTAATGGCGAGGTCAAGCTGCGAAGTTGATAGGATATCCATTGCAGCATTTTGTAGAACTGAAGGTATTTTGGAAGAGGTATCCCTCTAGGCCAGGGGGATTCCCTCAGCACCCTGGCTAGTTTGCTCAGGTTCAGGTTGGCAGGCCATTTGCTGTAGGACCAGTAAGTTAGAGATTCTCCTAATGAAGGATGAACACTAAATCAGGCCCTCCTTCTAGCGCCAAACTATTGATGCGTGATTTTGGCACCAACGAAAAAGCACATGTGAAACGCTGAGTTGGCCCAGGAGACACACATGAATATAACTGAAAATAGTAGTAAATGCAGTGGGGAGAGCTTTTAAAGTGGTTCGGATGCTAAGGTAGCAAATCCTACATCCACTGATATTTGTATTAATGATAGGGGTCAGATCGCGTTAGCGGACTGACTTACAAATGATTTACAAAAGACTCACTGAGTGATAGTACAAGAGAGAGAGAGAGTGATGTTTATCCTTGGAGAGAATATCTAATCAAGAGTAAAAATGGGCCAATCCCCCAAATGAGAGAGTAGCTCTCAATTTATAGTGGGATGGATTAAGGTAATGATCATTGAATCTGTGAGTTGGTAGGAGTGTCAGTGCAAATCCATCTTTATGTTACATTGTCTACCTTCTAGAGTGATTTGGGACAGGAATTGGACACGTGGGATCATCACAGCTTCTGGCTGGTCTAGCGCGCACCTACTATTCTGATAGAAGCAGGCCGCCCTTTCCTTCACGTGACTCAGCTGTGGGTGCACCTGGACCTTACGTCAGCCCTATATTTTTCAGGCATAACATGGTCCGATTTTGCCATGGAGCGACAATGTTGTTAGACAACATGAATTAATATTTACCTATCAAACATGTGTGTTACAAAAGAAAATATAAAACAATATTTGCTAATCAATATGAGAGATCGTCACCAAATATATGTTAGCATACACAATATGATTTATAAATATTAAATTAATTGGCAATGTTTATTTGCTTAAAATTATTGTTGACTAAATTATATTTAACTTGTGTCATGGTTTTACTTGACATTAGTTTATGTAGAGTATATACTGCATTATTTTATGTTATACAGTTTTGTCACCAAACACAACATTGCATTATTTAGTGTTATGTCGTGTCTCTAATACTGTGCTATGTCACATACCAAACATGTACTTATTATATTGAATATTTTTTACATTACATTTTAGAGAGAGAGTTCAACATATATAAAATTCAAAAAAAAAAAAAAAAAATCACTAGTAATACATTGAAGGACAAGTTTCACGCAGAATTTAGTTATCTAATTATTAGGACTCCACAATGAGCACTAGACGGTTTATGTCAAGTGAACTAGTTTAATTTTCATTTTCATTTTCATGATCTTATATTAATTTGCATGCTTAATTTCTAGCACAGAAAGAGATATAGCTATATTGAAATACTCTAATTTGCATTTTCACGAGCTCATATCATATTAAGGTTTGCTTCCAAATGTTGTTGCACCACCTTCCAAGCCGCCACCACATGGCGTTCCTCCGTCAGAGTGGCACCAATAGCAAACCTTATCACAAAGATTCCCTCAACAATGGCATGAGTCATGTATAATTTCCCAGATTTATTTATAGACTCCAACAGTTCATTATTGAATTTATTTACTGGCTCCTCCTCAATATCATCGCTTGCCTTATCCAAGGCTGATGGCACTACCCGAAAACAAACCATAGCAAAGTTTCTTGGAACAACAACTTCAAACCTCTTGTCACTCCCCACTAGCTCCTCAAATAGCTTTGCCATTTTGACATGGCTTCGAAGGAAATTCCTCAGATTGGTCACTCCATAGCTTCTAAGCACAAGCCACAATTTCATGCTACGAAATCTTCGGCTTAGTGTTATTTGCCAATCTTTATAATCCACCACTGTCTTCGAATCACTCGCCCTGTTTCTCAAAAACTCAGGATTTGTTGAGAGGGATTGTATGAGAGCACCTGGATTCTTCACCCAAAGGCAACAGCAATCGAGAGTAGTGAAGAACCATTTATGTGCATTGAGACTGAAGGAGTCCGCATCTTCTATACCATCGAGGAAATGGCGAAACTCCGGGCAGATACAGGAACTTCCGGCATATGCAGCATCAATATGAACCCATATTCCATATCTTTTGGCTATGTCACAAAGCGGACCGATTGGATCAACGGCAGTTGTTCCAGTCGTCCCAACTGTAGCACATAGAAAAAGAGGGATCAACCCGGCCTCTACATCTGATTCAACTGTCAACTGCAGTGAGTCGGGGGATAGACCAAATGAAGATGATTTCATTGTCTTAATAGCTCGGAAATTTTTCGGATCAATGCCGGCAATTTGAGCAGCTTTCTGTAGAGCACTATGAGTTTGATCGGAGCCATAAACAACAAGCTTCGTAATGTTTTCTCTTCCAATCTTGTTGAGAATACGGTCTCTTGCCGCAGATAATGTGCACAAAATGGCCTCACACGTAGTTCCTTGTATAACACCCCCGCCTTTGCCAGAGAAAAGGAAAGATTTAGGAAGCTTCAGCATTTCTCCAAGCCAATCCATAACTATATTCTCCAGCTCGGTTGCGGCGGGTGATGACATCCAATTAAATCCTACAACATTAAAGCCAGTGCTAATCATTTCACCGATAATCCCGGCGACACTGCCACTTGAAGGGAAGTATGCAAAATAATTAGGACTTTGCCAATGTGTTATTCCAGGGACAATATGTTCCTGGACATCCTGGAGGATTTTTTCGATGGGTTCAGGATTATTTGGTGCAGATTTTGGCAAGCATTTACTGAGATAACCCGGTTCAACTTGGCTTCGAACGGGCTGTTTCTCGACATTTTTGTAATAATCAGCGATGAAGTCTATGATCATGTGACCTTGCCTTCTCAATTCCTCAGAATCTAGGGGGTTAATGCATGATACCGAGTTATTTTGAAGTTCTGGATCGATATTTAGGCTACCCATTTGGAAGTGAAATAACGGATAAAGAATGAGAGGCCAAAAAATGGAGGTTTCGAACTCGATGGATGAATCAACAGGTTGAAAATAAGTATATATAGACATATAAAGTAGATCTGGGATACCATGTAAAATTAGTAGGGTTTGGCCAGTAGAGGCTAGGACCTAAATTTGACTTTTCTTACGTTTAACTTGACATTGACATGCATTAAATGATATGTTTATACGTTTTTCGTGATACATTATTTGTGATATATATATATATATATATATATATATTGATGTGAGAAAATAAATACACAAGAGCACATAAAAAACTCTTAATGAATATAGATAAATAATATCTTCCACATCAATTTATCTATTTTTAAAACTAGTTTGGTATAACCATTAATTATCATAATAAAATTAAATGATATAATAATCAAAGAATAATATCAATTCATAAAATAAATTATTTTATATAGATACGTCATAAAATAAATAGATAAGAGTATATAAAAGTTAATTTATTAGAACAGTTAACAAATATAGATGAATAATATATTAATTAAAGATTTATGTTACTTCAATTTATATACTGTACATTTGAAGCTATTTTGGTTTTCCAATTAATTTTTCCCAAGGAAATTAAAGAGCATCAACTTATGTATAATTAAAATTAGTTTGGTTAGACAGTATAATTAATCCTCATAATAAGGAAATTAAGGAGCTCAACGGTATACAAATTATGAAACTTTATTTCAAATCAATGCTTATCTTTATCTATAATCATAATTAATGCAAGCACATGTATTTTAGGTCGAGAAGTGCATAGTAATAATGCGTATAATTATGGCTGAATTTTTTATCTCTTATAAATTTTTATATATAATACAATTTAAATTTTTCCTTCTATTTTGTAAAATAATAATTAAAAAAATAACTTTATAAATGATACCGGATAAACTCTAAAATATTTTATAATGCTTAAAAGAATAATTGTAGTTCGACTTTCTCAAATTCACAATCCTGGTTCCACTACTCTTTATGCCAGATCAATTTGCGTTATGAGACAGGTCACGTGTCGATCAACTTGGTTTTAAAACACCAGGTCCACATGTGCACCAACAAGTTGGAAACGCGCGTGATGATATGAATCAGTCGAATAGTGTACAGAGGCCAAATAGCTGGCGGTGACTTAATTTGACTGAAATTTACCGTTGACCGTCATTTCTACAATTGAAGAAAAAACAAGTGTCCTGTTATTATTTATCAGAAATTAAATTAACCACAACTTATATTTGTGATTGTAATGTAATTGAATTTTATTGGTGATGATATAAACAATATTAATTACTATATTAGTGTTTTAAAGTCTAAATAAATAAATATAAAGATTGTATTACATAAGTGTATTGTATTAATTGTATTAATAATTAATAATAATACTAATTATATAGGTGCATTGCATTGATATTCTAAAGGTCTAATCATAATGACACCTTGGATGTAAAATTGTCATGTGGTTGAATTTTACTGATAATGATGTAGATAATATTAATTATCACATTGGTATTCCCAAATCTGAATAAACAGACATAAAAATTGGATTACAAAGATGCATTGCATTGGTGGCCAAAACATACCTGTTTATTAATAATTATATAGGTGCATTGTATTGACATTACAAACATTTCGTCGTATTCAATTCATATTTAATTGTGTTGACATTCGAAAGATCTAAATAAAGGGTTATAAAAGGAACGTATGTTCAGTTGTGTATTATCGAAATATGTTAATTGGTATCGATAATACATTTGGTTTGTTGTTAATTGTTTATAAGTCATGATAGTTTGTGTTAATAATACTTTTATTCTTCATGATTTTGTTAATCAATGATTTTTTATTTAGTTATGTTTTTGTTGTTGTTTATAGATCAAAGATTCATGAATTGACATGGAATAAAGGAATGATGTCTAATTGACATTGTCAAATGAGTTATTATTTTGATTCGTTCTTCTGAACTATAAGTATATCTTCTAATTATTTTAATACAAAATTGTAAGTATATCTCCTAAGTATTTTAACGATTATTATTTGGTTGAATGATTGTTTTTGTTTGGTCAATATTTTGAATGATTAATTGTGTTAGTTCTATCTAATGGTAAGTGTATTCCTTAACAATTTTAATATGAAGATTAATTAACTTTTGTTGATTTCGTTTTTAAGTAACACTTATTATATGAATGAATACTTTTTCCTTAACAATCTTAATATAAAGATCGATTAAATTTTGTTATGTTTGTTTTGAAGGAAATGTTCATGTACTTTACTAAGATCAAATCGAAGATGATCCTATTGTCAGCCGAACTGTGAGTATGTGTCATATTTATATTAGTAAAAACAATTCATTTGTGTTGAATATGTTTTCTGTAAAAACATTAGTGTATTTTAATTTGTTATATAAATTATTAATTGTTTATGTCCTGCTGATGTTCGAGTATATATGTCAAATGAATTAATTTTGGCTGATTCTGTTTCCAATTAATAGATGTTATTTGAAATATTTTTTATCAGTCCTAATATGATAATCCCTTACATTTAGGTCAAGTAAACTATTCATTTTATCATCACATGTATTTCGGTTTCCATTGAACAATTGGTAGTAGATTGACCATAACTTGCTTAATAAAAATCCAATTAATGGAAGAATTGAATCTTTAGAAACTAGACAGACAGTGCTTTAATTTGATATACTATACGCTTAATTTGGTTAACTTTAGCTCCATTGTCGAACCATTCATTTCATCATCACACACATTTCAGCTCTACTGAATAGTCAGTAGTAAATTGACTATAACTTGCTCGATAAAAATCAAATTGATCAGAGGTTTATATCTTTAAAAACTAGATAGATGGGGCTTTAAATTGATATATTATACGCTTAATTGGATAACTGTATCCTCACTGTTGAACCATTCCTTTTGTCATCACACATATTTTGGTTTTCATTGAACAGTCAGTAGTAAATTAGTCATAACTCACTCAATAAAAATTCAATTGATGAGCGGTTTGAATATTTGAAACCTAGATAGATATGACTTTAATTTGATATATTATACGCTTAATTTAGATAACTGTAGTCCCACTGCTAAATCATTCTTTTTATCATCACACATATTTTAGTTTCCACTGAATAGTTAGAAGTAAATTAGTCATAGCTTGCTCAATTAAACTCCAATTGATGAGAGGTTTAAATCTTTAGAAACTAGGCAGATAGGGCTTTAATTTGATATATTATATGCTTAATTTAGATAACAGTTACCCCCACTACTAAATCATTCCTTTTATTATCATACACATTTTGATTTCTTATGTTTCTCGATTTCCACTAAATAATCAGTAGTAAATTGGTCATAACTTACTCAATAAAAATTGATGAGCAGTTTGAATATTTGGAAACTAGAAAGATAGAGATTTAATTAGATATATTATATGATGAATTTGGATAACTATCGACCTATGACCGAACCATTCATTTTATCATCACACACATAAAAGCAATTCAATTTTAGTGATGACAAAGGAAAACAAATATTGATATGTAGTTTTAATTGTATATGTTCTGGAAAACAAATATTGATATGTAGTTTTAATTGTATATGTTCTATCTCTTTTTGTTGATATTTTCTTATATTACATATATATATTGAAAACAGGTTGTTGCTGGATATAACAAATTTTATTTGTATCACAAATATCATCTAATGTTTGTTGCCAAATCATGTAGCTTTAGTAAACCATTTATAATATGCCAAACCATTATTATTATCCTTTAAGGAAAACAAATGTTGATATATAGTTTTAACTATAATTGTTCTATCTCTTTTTATTGATATCTTTTTATGTTACATACATATATCACGAAAAGAGGTTGTTGCTGAATATAACTAATTTCATTTATTTAACACACGCATTTCAGTTTTCACAAAAGAATCAGTAGTAAATTGACCATAACTTGCTTAATAAAAATCAAATTGATGAGAGGATTAAATCTTTAGAAACTAGGCAAACAGTGCTTTAATTTGAAATATTATGGCTCCGTTTGGTTCACAATTTTGTGTTTTTGGAAAAAGTTTTTTGAAAAAAGTTAAAAAAAAGTTGAATTGGGTGGGTATTACGATGTAGGATTTACAAATTATAAAATACCCCCTATATTTGTTTTTTCTACAAAACACCCCTTATAATAAAACATTAAAAGTTAACAAAAACACCCATAATCCACCCTCAAATACGGACAGCCAGCCACCACTGCCGGAGGGTGGCCGGAGTCGCCATAACAAAAACATTAAAAATATTTAGGGGTATTTAATTGAATTAACAAATTTAGGGGGTTTAAAAAATGTTGAATAAAGTTGAATAATATTGTGAGTTTTTTGGTATTTTACTGTTTAACTTTTTTGGGAATACTAAAAGTAGTATTCCCAAAATCCAACCAAACGAAGCCTATATGCTTAATTTGGATAATTGAGACCCCACTACCGAATCGTTCCTTTCATCATCATAATACATTTTGACTTTCACTGAACAGTCAGTAGTAAATTGATCATAACTTGCTCAATAAAAATCCAATTGATCAAAGGTTTGCATCTTTAGAAACTAGACAGGCAGGGCTTCAAAATTAGTATATTATAACCTTAATTTGGATAACTTTAGCTCCACTGCCGATCCATTCCTCTTATCATCATACACATTTTGATTTCCCCTGTTTCTCAATTTTCACCAGACAGTCAATAGTAAATTAGTCATAATTTGCTTAATAAAAATCAAATTGATGAGCAATTTGAATCTTTGAATACTAGATAGATAGGAATTTAATTGGATATATTATACGCTTAATTTGGATAACTATAGCCACACTGCCAAACCATTCCTTTTATCATTATACATATTTCAATTTCCACTGAACAATTAGAAGTAAATTGACCATAAATTGCTTAATAAAACTCCAATTGATGAGAGACTTGAATCTTTAGAAACTAGACATATAGAGATTTAATTTTGTATACTTAA